GTCAAAATATTTTTTAGTTGACTTCTTTGTAGAGTGTGACAACCAACAAAAATAATTTTTAGAGAATCACATAGATCATCTAGTTCTAATGACAGGGTAGTAATTATGTTAATAACATCTTGAGGAAAGCTTATACAGTTGCCTTTTAAAGTTGATTGAGCTGTGCTTGTCGAATGAAAAGACGAATATAATTTCACAATGCAGCTGTTATGTTGGTAGAGAGCAATAAGTCTTTGCTCAGTAATGGTTAGTCCTTGTAATTGTTGTGGCACATCTCCCATTCATACTTTATTGCCAGCTGAAAACTTGCGTATTTTTGCTTTCGCCAAAGATTATCAACACTTCGTACAAATATTACAGTGTACCGAGGATTGTCTCTTTTTATCAAAAGTTTTATGACGTCCCGCTTTATAGAGAAATATACTGTTTACCCAAGTAAACGTTTGATCATCCATTGATGATTTTATATTCCTATCTATAATCAAAAAATTTGATTAATCTTGTTAGTTTAAATATTACAATAATTCAGCTACTTCTCTTTCATTTCGACCGAAAGCTAAACCAAGATCGTCATTCTTGTTAAACTTATCTTTTGAATGAAAATTGCTCATTCGTTGCATTATGGAAATTATGTCATAAAGATCATTATGTACTCTAAGCAATTCAATCGATGGAATTCCGCACAAAGGTATGTGGCAGAGGTTACTCTTATAGCAACGAACATTACAAATGCCACAAGCATTCTCTGCTAGAGAACTTATTGACATATGTCGACTGAAATTTTTTGAGCAGTTAGTCGTGCATTCCATTTCAATAGGTTTTGGTTATTCGGTGTCGCTACTTTTAAGATTTTTGTTTCTATCAGTAACCGTTTGTACTTACACATTTTTCTGAAGACGTTTTCTCTTACGAGCCACTGCTTGCTGTTGCTCGACTTTCTTCCGGTGCATAAGCAGCGCGTATTTCAGTACTTCTCCTGCGAGCTAGTACACGCACTTTTCAGGTTCTTTTGGTGATATAGTAGCTCGTTTAGTCATACTCCTCCTAAGAGCAAGTGCTTGCTGTTGTTCGATTTCTTTCACTATAAAAGTAGTTCGCCAAGCTACACTTTTCTAACGAATTAATACTCGTGATTGTTTGATTTCCTCTACTGGGAGTGTGGGTATTAATTGGAATACCCACACCCACGCCCTTCATTTCTTGTTGATGAATACCAGTATTTTAATTGAAAATCATAAATTGAATTTAATTTTTAAACAAATTCACTGCATTTTTTAATCAATATGTCAATTTTAATCAATAAATTTGAAAAAGCATCAATTTTATGTTCACTCCATCATCAAAAATACCATTTGTTATGCTTTTTGCATAGATTTCAAGATTTTAATGAATATATTTTTATTCTGAAGTTACTTGATCTACACGAAAAGAGTAATTATATGGATACATGGTGTTCTGAAAAGCATAGTTTACTAGTACACTCTATTTCAAATTCTCATGGATCACATCGAATGACACTCTATTTTAAGAACTCTCATTCTGATAAGATCATTTGAAGCATCATAGAATTTTGTCACGATTTCATGCAGCCAACGGTATAGGATACTGCAGATTTTGTTAACTCATTAGACAAAAAATTAATTCCATCCAATGTCATCCTGAGTCTGACATACAAACTACAGGAGGAACAAGATTTTCGCTGTATAACTGCATTAGGAACAACTAATCGAGACCAGACTAGTGCTGGCAATTAGGTTTAGCCCTGACTCACATATTCCTAAAACATCAGCCCGCTATTATCTATTTTTATGCTTGTTCAAGGAAGATGCCTTCTTTTGTTGAGCGCTGTAATGATCTAGCAAAATGGATAGTAACTTATACTTTATAATCAAATCGACGTACTTGACGTTCTGCTAGTTAAGAATTTTCTCTTTTGATTAGATCTTTTCAATAGGTGAGATGCATTCACACATATAGCAGAAAGAATCTAAATTCATTAGTGCCAAATAGTATTGTCTCATGATCGCTCGCTAAATTACACATAAAACGAAAAATAAGCGTTGGATAGTTAGCATTACCCAACGGTTACTTTACTAGGTAACCTTAAGAGATCCATTACCACCGAAGTAAGCTAGTGGTTGATTAAATATCGAATATTATTGCTAGTCATGTTGGACTGACGTGTCTAGTCAGAGTCTGAAAAAGCCCTCCTCTTGGATTAATCTGAAACTTGCTATGTTCTGGAATCTCATCTTTATTCTATCATCGACAGGCGGCAGTTTACATATCAGCCAGTCTTTTTCTAGAGAGAGATTCTTCAAGGACAGGTTCAACATCAGTTAGATATTAAATTATCATCTAGAATGAAGACTAGTACTGGACGAGGACTTTTTGAGGCTCTGACTAAACACTTCGAGACGCCATGACTCCCGTCAGAAAATGATTTGAAACTGCCAAAAAGAAGCGTGCTGGATACGGTTCACACGACACGCTCCAATGAGATGTATTTGACTAGTCCCAACGCGTCTGACGTTAAATATATTATGACGTAGAAGATCAGATTTGGACAAGCGTATAATGTCTTACTTATCTGTCATTTAAAGAATTGAACCAAACAGACGATAAAACTCCTTCTATGTCTCAATAAACATTTGGAGTAAGGATTTCATAGGATTTAGAATTTTTTAAAGTTTCAATACCTAGAAAAAACGCTTATTTTAGAACACAATTATGCAGATGAACTTCAATAAGACCAGGGTATGAGTGTTGGAGGGTGTATGCTGTGGGTGTCAGACAGATGACGATGAAACAAACACTAATCCAACATACCAACACCCATACCTTAGTACTTCTACGCACTTTTAAGTTGTCTCTCAAAAGCACGACGTTTTTGTTCCTTCATCGGATTTATAGCTGTATTTTGAGCTTTAAAGAATGAAGAATGATATCAGCGCACAAATCAGTATGGCTATATGTAGTAAGCGTATTGCATAGTTTCGACCTCTGTATTAATTTTGAAGAGCTCATTCGGATTACAACTCTAACTAGACAAAATCATGTCGATGACATATTAGATGTACGCTGGTATGCATTGAATAATTAAGAATACTTTTTGCAATATCATCATTTTAGAATGCTTTGAATTGCCAAATATCAAACGAATACCATAATTTCGCATAATGTCGTAGAATAAGTAGTACTAAAAAAGTATGGCTCAGATAAACGTTATTAATCTTTCTTCTGCAATCCTAATATCTTTGGTCAATATAAAGTATAGACATTATATTTTATTGTGAAATATAACTGTATAACTGTTTTGTTAATTTATCTGGCATGATAATTGAAGCGTATTTATGAGACAATGTTCGAGTAGAAGACTTTCACGAGTTCGGGTCTTGACGCTTGAAAAATTTGTAAAGCGTCTATTTTAAAGTGCGTTGTATTTTCTCTGGC